TATTGAGGACAATTAGAAGTTATACAGAAAACCCTAAACAAATACAGAGCCTTGCCTTTAGAATGTTTATAGTATCTTTTGTGATATTTCACACTGCATCACACCCATACACCAGGATGAGAACAATAGCATCCTGTGACTAAAGAATGTAGATGATTATTGTAGAGAGATAATATAGTGTTGTAGTAAAGGAATGATCATAATGTGATGGAAAAACTGATAGTAATTTAGTTTAGTATATACTTACACATTGTACAAATTATTGGATGCTTTATCACATGCACAGTGTTGGTGTTTTTTAATATATATTTATGCATTTATTTGGCAGCATATACATTTGTCATGTAGAAATGGAGATCATTGAAATGCAAATAAAGAAACTGTTTTTAGTGGTTAGAAATCAAAATTTTGGTCCTAGCCTAGCATATTTATTAACAATGGAGAAAATTCACTGACTTATTGTGAATTTTAAATTTTAATTCTCATGGAACCTGTATTTAAAACAGATATGGCAGACTGTTTTGAAACTTAAAGCTATTATAAAGAAACCAAGCAACAGAAAGAATCTGGAGAATGGACTTTGTCATATTCAATTCAAGGGCACTTGTTTTCTTTCCAGTAGAGGGAAAAATGTTATTCAGTAATACCAGATTTGTACATTGTAGTGTTGTAGAATGAATACAAAACTAAAAGTCGTGAGATACAAGTTCTTGTCTTATCTTTATGGCTTATTATTAGCTATATGATCTTGGGCAAATCAACTAATCTTTCTAGGTTTTCGGTTTCTTTAAAGGAGCACATTGAACCCCAGAGTATTTGATACTTTTAAATAGTACTGTGCTTTAAAATCACACGATTCTTTGTTTTCCATCTCTGGGGTTGGATTTTTTTTTTTTTTTTGAAAGCAGATTCATTTTACATCGTAAGCAGATAATCATGATCTTAAAGATTTATATACTTGGAAGTTGAACATGCCAGTTTTCAAACTTTCATTATTTGGGAATGAGTTTTGTGGTTTTAGATAGTAGGCCAGAAGCCTTTTTCATTAAAGTCTCCAGTGCAGTGCTATCCAATCAAACTTTGCAGTATCCTATATTTGTGCTCTCCAGTATGGTAGCCAGTAGACACATGTGGCTGTTGAACACTTGAACTGTTGCTGGTGAGACTGAGCAACTGAATTTTTCATGTTCGTAATTGTAATTAAGCTAAATTTGCCTTGTGACTAATGGCTCTGTACTGAACAGCATAGCTCTCGTGTGTGTGTGTGTGTGTGTGTGTGTGTGTGTGTGTGTGTGTGTGTGTGT